TGTACCTGATGATCTGCACACGACCTGACCTTGCATACCCTCTCAGCATTCTCGCACGCTATGTTGCTCCTGGGAGACACCGACCAGAGCACATGGCTGCAGCGAAGAGGGTGTTGCGCTACTTGTGCAGTACGTCGGGCATGGGGCTAGTGCTTGGAGGGCGCAGTCCAGTGGTCCTCACTGGGCACGCGGACGCTTCTTGGGCTGACGACCAGGCTACGCAGCGGTCGTCACAGGGTTACACCTTCGGCCTTGGTTCCGGCTCTGTCTCGTGGCAGGCTACTCGCTCGTCTTCTGTTCTTGGCTCCAGTTGTGAGGCTGAGATCTACGCCGGGGCTATGGCTGCTCAGGAGCTTCGCTGGCTCACCTACCTGCTGACCGACCTTGGAGAGCCGCCTCGTTCTCCTCCAGTCCTGTACGTAGACAACAAGGCCATGCTGGCCTTGTGTCGAGAGCAGCGACTGGAGCACAAGACAAAGCACATTGCTCTCCGCTACTTTCTTGCTCGTGAGCTGCAGCAGCGTGAACAGTTGCGACTTGCGTACGTGGCCTCTGAGGCCAACACTGCTGATGTCTTCACCAAGGCACTTGCGCCTTGTGATCATCAGCGTTGCTGCACGCAGCTGGGTCTTGTGCTTGTCTTGCCTCACTTGCTCACTTCTTGACCTTGCTTGTACCTTGACCTATATATACTCTTGCTCTTGCTTGCTTGACTCTTGTATATCTCTATATATGATCTTGCATGCGAAATGGCCTTGTGGCCCTTGACCTTGCGCTCGGAATGTGTGGTGACTTTGTGATCCACCCTGAGCTTTGCTTTGCTTTGCTTGACTGGTCTTGTGACCCCTTGTTCTCCCCCACTTTGCCTATGGGGGTGTGTCAGAACATTATAGCTTACTTATTTGTGTAGGCTATAGTGGGGTATCCCATAGGGGGTACAACCCAATTAGGGTTTCATATTTGTACTCACTTCATTCATAGTTGATTCATTCTCGTTCAGTTTTCCACAAGTCGCACTGTATCGAATCGCAACAGTAAAACGGTTTAAACTTATCTATTCGTATTCCTTGTGCTCTTATATAAACCTTTGTATTTGCTTGTTTAATCAACTTACTTTGCCCTCACATACTAGCGCAAGGTGGTTCAAGGACTTTCATTCAAACGCTTCCGCTATTACGATCCTACTCAGACTTTAAGCTCTACAAAGATCCTAGGGCACCTCAGCCCAACAGTACACTGCTATATATATTTATACCTCCATGTTTACTTCTGCTAGGTTGTGATCAGTGTACTGCCTTGCTATGTATAAATCAGCATGTGAACTGGCATTGTGGCCGCCTGCTCATGCTCAGGTTGTGTGGTGTCCTTGAGATCCACCCTGGGCTTTGCCTTGCTTGTTCTCTTGCTTGACTGATCTTGTGACCACTGTTCGGTTTGGCTATCCCCTACTTCACCTATGGGGGTGTGTCAAAACATATTGTTTGTTCATGTTACTTTAGGTTGTGTAGGGGTCACACCTTATAGGGTACAACCCAACTCTCTCGACATCCTTGTACCCCCTCCCTTTCACCTAATCGACACCTCTTCCTAGCCAATCTCGACACTCATGACCGGAACCAGAGATATGCCCTTACATATGGTGTAGGGTAGTTGGACGAGAATGTTGTAATACCCAATTGAGATGAAGCATGTTGCTATTGCAAAAAACAAGAAGCAAGCTCTCTCAATATGCCTGTTATATACACATACACATGCACAAGTGTATGTGTAGAGTGCCAAAGGGCACAATGGGAAGCTGAGTGTATTTATGTTACTAGGATTCATGTTTGATTCGTCCATTTTGCTTATGAAGATCAAGCCCTTGTTTGTGCACTGTAGGGACAGAATCAACTTCGTTTTGTGCGCTGAGCTGTGAGACAGCTCATCGCCAGCTGGAAATTTTGGCTTCAGACCCCTCTCATTTGTACAATCTGATGTCGCCAGGGAATCGAGAACCCGCAATGACGCTCTGGTGGCTGAACCATGCACAGAGTTTGCAGGTGGCTTGTGACAAGTGGATCGGGATGCACCCCCAACATATTACAGAAGCGAGTTTGAACGTTTAAGCGAGCGTACCGTTTAAACATGTTGTTTAGAAACACCGGTTTACGGAGAGAGTAAATTTCAGCTCATACTCTCCAGATACAGTACTTGCGTTGTTTCGCGGAAAAGCAACAATTGCGAGATGTGCAAGGCGGCTTGGCCTTACGCATTCTACACACGGGGGACACTAACACCCTCTCTCTAGATGGAGAGATGAAGAGAAATGTCAACCCATGCCAGTGGCATGGCATGCTGGAATCGCGTTCTGCCCTGATTGGTGGTCCTTGTGAGTCCTGGTTCTGGTACATTTCATTACAGTACGGAAATCCAGTTGCCAAGTGGGTTGCTTTGGCATCTGTTTGTATGTCAAGAAAATGCTTGCTTTTTGCCCAAACGAGCCACTTCTAGTGACTACAGTCTCTCATCCATATTATAGAAGGCAGAGGCTTATGAAGTAACATACAGAAATGCTCTGTTTAGCTCTAATGCACTTCCCCCCCCTTATACTCCGTGAACAGATTTGTGAAAACAAAATTGTGCAGCGACAGTATGCGGATGAATGAATCTTCGATCAGATGCTGCATACAGTAATCTGGACGGAGTTTATGCATACACACGATGCCCGGTTGAGCCCCCCGACCTCGCCTTACCCTCTGGGCGTATAAACGATTCCTGCATTTCGCGGAGGTTTCGTCAATTCGTCTCGAGCAAAAAGGGCTTATAAAAAGATTTGTAACTCATCGTTGACTTTTTGACTGCATTCTCTTCAGTCAGACTTCAGTTTCTGTGGTTCGTATTGGTTGACGTGCCTGTAACGTGGGTGCAGCCTCACGGCACAAAACCCACGGGTGCAAGGTTTCCATCATGTGTGGGCAATTTTGCGTGCAGGGGGTGAGCATCATGTGTAGTGCAGATCGTGCAATGAATAACAACGGGCCCACATGTCCTTGCCAAGATTGCTTCGGGTCGCGCTGGCCAGCGAGCACCAAACATCAGCCCATCCTCGCCACCCTTCAGCATTTACACACTGTGACTCTCCAGTCACAGAGCTGCTGCCTCCAGCGTCATTGGCTCAACGACCACCAAACCTGTTCGGAAATCCCATGTTATGGCGTGTACTAAGTGCTGCACAAACTCGACGTCGAGGAATGTCCGAAATGCGTTCTAACAAGTCGGACGTAAGCCCTCCCAAACACGTCAGGTTTCTCAAACTTGGGGTTGGGGGAGATCTACCATTGCCGCTACAGGCTCAAAGTTCTAGCAATATAATCTACGCAGCTAGAGACTTTCAAGGAATAGCTCTGCGATGCAGGTAGTAGGAATCGTTTTTCGCAGTGCGGACACGAAGATGTGTCATTCTCAGCTATCTTTGACATCCCTCGGACGTTGATTAGTGCGAGTCGTTCTCCGAGTCGCCCTTTTTCGGCACTGTTTTTTTTTGCGATTCCTCCACTGTGCGTCGACTCGAAACAGCTCAAATTATGTTATTTTTTCATCTGTTGTAAAGTTTCCTTTAGCTAACGTTCAAAGGTGGGCTGCATTTGCGTCAACTTGTATTGTACGACATGATGCTTCCCTTAATTCGTCCGACAGTCACCGACGACCCACTTAACGTTAAGACCGACCAACGTCATAGTTACCACCCCAGTCTCGCAGCGGCAGCGACGAGAGCTTCGCACTTTCGTAGCCAATCAGAGTCCGCATTTGCCTTCGACCCGGAACAATCGGTAGGTCAGAACGCATCAGAATGGGAACGCGAGAATTGCGGCGGGAGCAGCGGCGGGAGCGGCGGCGGGAACCCGGGCGAGTCGAGAGGAGGCATCGTTGAGGGCAGCAGATCCGTCCCTAGCGCGCATCGCGGCTTGTCGCCGACAGCTAAGGTCGTCGTTAATGATTCCGCTGATAATTTTGCGAACCCCGGAGGCCAGCAGGACCAGGTTACTCCTTTACCGAGCTCAAGACCTTCGAAGCCGCAATCGCCGCTGCCACGTCATCGTCGGTACCGATCAGATGACGCGTTTTCCTTCCACGAACCTTTCCCGCGCGCGGCGGCGGACGGCGCCAACACCCCCATCAGTTCTAGCAGTAGTCGTAGTGGCGAAAGCGCCGGGTCGCGCGTCGATAGCGGGTTGCGCGGCGGCGTGATGACGATGGTGCAGCGAGGAATGCAGATGCTGAGCACTAATGGCAGACTCGTCGCCGGAAGAGACGGCGGACGAGACAGCGGACGAGACGGCGGACGAGACGGCGGACGTGACGGCGGGCAAGGTCGCGGCAAGCCTTGCAATAGTAGTAAAGCTAGGACTGCTAGTAGTGATTCTTCGTCTAACGGTTCGAATGAAGTCAGTACTGTGTCGTCTGCTCATGTTCACTCGCCGACAAGCCCGTCTGAAAGTAAATACGACGCGGAAGAGTCAACGGAAGCTGAAGCCGGTCAACAAAAGTCGCCAGGGTCAACGACGTCGCCGACGGGGTCAACGCGAATCGCGCGCAGCGCGGTTGTCCTGTCTGGCGCTGCGGCGGCGGCGCGGAAAAGAGGGTCGAGCCGCGGAGGGTCGATTTGTCAAGAGCTGCTGCCGAGCCTGTGGGAGGAGGAGGACGAGCGCGCGGAAGGAACGGCGGCGGGTGCGGGCGACCGCGCGAAACATCGCGGCGCGACGGGGACGCCAGCGGAAGATGCGGAGGCGGCGGAGGAGGCGGAGGCGGAATTTACTAGCGACGGCAGGGACAGATCTGACTATTATGCGCGGAGGAAAAGTGGAAGCGCGATTCCGCGCAGTCGGGAGCGATGGCAGGCGGAGGACGAGGCGGGAAGAGTTTCCGCTGCCCCCGCTACCAACCCCGCTACCGCCCCCGCCTCCCCCTCCGCCTCCGCCATTCCGCGTGTTCCGAGCCCCACGGGGCTTCCGCCGCGGCCGATGTCCCCGTCAGACGCAGATCCGTTACAGTCACGGCACGCGCAAATGTCCCCCACTACCTCCCCCCCCAACCACCGCCGAACGCAGAGCAGCGGAACCTTTCTCTGGGGGGGCGGAATGATGGGGGGACTTCCGCCCACTAGCCCCCGAACCAGCGCGTTTGGCGCGGGTTTTGCAGGTAGCGGCGCGCATTTGCCCCCGCTGAGCCCCAGGGCGGGCGGAAAGGGTGGCGGCGGGCCCTGCCCTTTGCCCAGCCCCATTGGGCGGAGCAAAACGACTGGCGGAAGCTCCTCAAGAATTTCCGCGGGTGGTCCGCTCGCTGACGTGGCTAGCCTCCCCAGAAGCCGTACTTCGTACGCGGCGATGGGGGAAGGCGGAGGGGGGGGAGGAGGGGGAGCGGGGGGAACGGGGGGTGGGGGACGTGGGGGATTGGCGGGAGAAGGCAGGGCGGCAGGCGGAGGGGGGCACTTCCCGTTACTGAATCGGGGGAAGGGCATGGGGGGAGGGGGTGGCGGGGTGCCTCGCAGCGCGAGCAGCGGAAACGTGGCGGGAATGGGGCAGAGTGGCGCGAGCATGGGGTTTACTCCCACAATGGGTACGAAGCTTGATGCTGGGATGGGGGGAACAGGGGTGCCTCGCAGCGCGAGCAGCGGAAACGTGGCGGGAATGGGGCAAAGTGGGGCGGGCATGGGGGTGAGCGGCGCGGGAATGGGATTCACCCCCACCATGGGTACGGTGCTTGATCCTGCGCGTGGGGGTAGCGGGGTGCCTAGAAGCGCGAGCAGCGGGAATATGGCGGGGAACATGGCCGGCGGCATGGGGGGCGGCATGGGCGGCAGCATGGGGTTCACTCCCACCATGGGCACGGTTCTTGGAAGCGCAGGGGTGCCTAGAAGCGCCAGCAGCGGGAATATGGGCGGCATGGGCGGAACTGGCGCGGGCATGGGCGGGAGCACCGCGGGCATGGGCGGGAGTGGCGCAGGGACAAGGCTCAGTGGATTGGGATTGGGCTCACCTGGTGCACATAAAGGGGGGACGCACAGGAGAACAAGCAGCGTTAGCAGCGGTGGTGGTGCTGCTGGTGCTGCTGGTGCTGCTGGTGGTGTTATGCAACAGCAGCATGGGTACGGCCTGAGCAGCCCCAGCAGCACTGGCATCATTGGACGACATAGGAGATCGGCAAGTACAAGTCACCAGCCTGATTCCACCTCCACGAACCTTTTTGACACCAGCAGGAACCTTCCTGATAGCAGCAGGCCCAAGGGGTTCCGGACGCCGAGAATCGTGCTTCCCCATCACGACAACATCAGCCCTGCCACGTCACCGCACTCCACCAGCCCACGTGGCAGCAGCAGCAGCCTCGCTCCCAGTGACACGTCACTCAAGTCGCCCTACACCAGCCCGCCCAACGCCAGTCCACGTGGCACCCCACCCTCCCCCAGTTACCGCCTCCCTCCCCATAAGTCTCCTGCCTCTGCTTCTCATGCTACCTTGCTTCAAGGCCGCGTGCCTGGACCAGCACAATTACTAGGAGGTTTTACAGGAGCAGCAGGAGCAGCACCAGCCATCCCAGCAACCTTCTCTCGCTCCCCCAGGCACCGTAGCCCCAGTGTGCTCAGCCCGAACCTGCAGAGCCCGAGCCTCCGCAGCCCGAAGCTGAGAAGCCCGAGCCTCCCCAGCCCCGGCATCATCCGAACCGGCAGCTCAAGTCCGGGAGGCAACGCCGCGAGCAACTTAATCGGCTTCTCCTCGCCGACTTACCTCCCTAGTACATCATCCTCGGCGTCTTTAAATGCAAATAGTCCTTATGCAAATTACCCGTATACCCCAGGAGGGGGCAGTGTTGTTCACAGCCCACAATCCATGGCTGCTCTGGCAGAGAGGGACAAGCAAAAGCTGGCCGAGATTCAGAGCTTCTTTGCTTCGGGATCCGCAGGGCTAGGCTCGGGAAGGCGAGGTTCGGGGCAGTGGTTGGTGGGGGGAAGCACGCCGCTCCAGTCACCCAGGCCTGGAATCTCCCCTAATACCTCCCCTCCTGTGAATTCACCTTCGAAAGGGGGAGCGAGAGGAGGAAGAGGAGGGAAGAAGGGAGGTATGGGGTTGTTTCTGGGTCCTATTCGCACGCCGAGTCCCAGTGAGTATTACCGGCTTGCTTCGCCTGCTGGTGGATGGATGGGCGGGGCGTGGGGACGAGGGGAGGGAGAGCAGGAAGAGGAGGAGGGCGAGGAAGGGGAAGAGGGTGAGGAGGAAGGGGAGGAGGAGGACTGGGGGACGTACATGGGTGGAGAGGCGTATGTGGTAAATGAGGAAGGGGAGGGAGAGGAGGGACCAGCAGGCGCATCAGGAGGAGCAGGAGCAGCAGAAAAGGCAGGCAGTGTGGAGGAAGGAGGAGAGAAGGCAGTGAGGGAGCAGGAAATTCTGACTAAAGAAGCTGTTGCAGCAGCAGCAGCAGCAGCAGCACAAGGGAAGGCGGAAACAGCCCTGATGCAAGCAGCAGCAGGCGAAGCTTTTATGAAAGAGACAGCAGGAGGCTCCCAAGGGGGCAAGCAAGGCAAGGCCGACGCAAAAACCATGGTGCAAGCTGGAGCCGGCGGAGGAAAGTCAGGCGTGAAAGCAATGGTGCAAGCAGCAGCAAGTGAAGCTGGCAAGAAAGAGACAGCAGCAGCAGCAGCAGGAGGAGGAGGAGGAGGAGGAGGAGGAGGAGGAGGAGGAGGAGGAGGAGGAGGAGGAGGAGGAGGAGGAGGAGGAGGAGGAGGAGGAGGAGGAGGAGGAGGAGGAGGAGGAGGAGGAGGAGGAGGAGGAGGAGGAGGAGGAGGAGGAGGAGGAGGAGGAGGAGGAGGAGGAGGAGGAGGAGGAGGAGGAGGAGGAGGAGGAGGAGGAGGAGGAGGAGGAGGAGGAGGAACATCGGACGTGAAAGCGCTGGTGCAGGCAGCACTAACAGAGTGGCGGAGGAAGGAGGAGGCGGCAATGCAGCAGCAGGCCGCGTCGGTGCTGGGCAGGGGATTGTCGGACGTGCGCAAGGTGTACCAGCTGGGCAAGGAGCTGGGGAGAGGGAACTTCGGGGTGATCAGGGAGGCCGTGGATTGGGTGTCTGGCGAACGATTCGCGTGCAAGAGCGTCAACAAGAAACGACTGGAGGTGAGAGGGCCGAGGGGAGAAGGCTGGAGGTGAGGGCTGGAGGTGAGGGTTGTAAATGAGTGGGTGAGGGATATTTGGGATGGGGAGAGGGGAGTGAGGGGGCAGGGAAGTGAGTGCGGGGAGCAGCAAAATTAAAGAGGGGGAACAATAGGAGGGCTAAAGTGACGTGATTGCTCAAGGGGTGCATGCCAGTGCTCTTACATTTCTTGTCTCTCCTCCCCCTCACCTTCCCTGCTCTCCTCCCTATGTCCTTTTCCATTCCAGTGCCTGGATGACTTGGAGGATCTGAGGAGGGAGGTGGAGGTGATGCGATAGCTCAAGCGAGGGATGCATTCCACTTTGAAACGCACCCCTCAACCCCCTCTTCTTTTCTTCCCCTTCTCCTGCTCCCCTGCCTGCCAGTGCCTGGATGACTTGGAGGATCTAAGGAGGGAGGTGGAGGTGATGCGAGTGCTGAAAGGCCATCCCAACATTGTGTCGCTGATGGATACCTATGAAGATGACACGGTGAGTTCACACTGGAGATGACACGGCGAGTTCACACTGGAGATGACACGGTGAGTTGATACTGGAGATGACATGGTGAGTTGATACTGGAGATGACACGGTGAGTTGATACTGAAGATGACACGGTGAGTTGATACTGGAGATGACACGGTGAGTTGATACTGGAGATGACACGGTGAGTTGACACGGCCTTCCATTGACGTTGCCTCAAAACTCACTTCTGAGCTGCCTCAGAAGTTTGCTTGTGCCTTGAAGAAAGGATACCGGCACTACGGAAGACAAGAGTGTTTCTGAGACGTCTCGAAATAAGAGTGTTTTTGAGACGCCTCAAAATGAGAGTGTTTTTGATACGTCTCAAAATGAGAGTGTTTTTGATACGTCTCAAAATGAGAGTGTTTTTGAGACGACTCAAAAACACTCTTCATTCAGAAGCTGGTTTGTGCCTTGATGAAAGGATACCGGCACTACGGAAGAGTTTTGAGACGTCTCAAAACTCGATACCGGCACTGCAGAAGACCTTCCTTCATTAACACCACTTCAAGCTCACAACGCCTCCCCTTGTGCAATCACCCTGTGTGCTCCCTGTACTGTCAGCAACCCTCTTTCAAAGCCACCATAGGCACACAACCTCTTTTTATCAACCCATTACCCCTGTGGGCACATCAGCACAGCATGCAAGGAATGATGTGTGGGGAATGCTGATGTGCCCAAGTGGAGAGGCCTACTTCCTCTCTCCTCTGTGTGAGAGAAAAGAGTTCACAAAAAGCAGCTCCTCTCTAAGAGCAAAGAGCAAAGAGCAAAGAGCTCTTTTTGAGGGCGGAGAGCTTTTGGATGGTATCGGTGCCGTGGCCCTCGTCTCCCCTCAACAGCTTGTCAACTCCCTGTCCCCCTTCCCCGGGTTCCCCCCTCTGCCAGGACGTGCACATAGTGATGGAGCTGTGCGAGGGTGGAGAGCTCTTTGATCGCATCGTCGCGCGCAACCACTTCACCGAGAGACAAGCAGCACAGGTAGGCATAGGCGGCACCCTCGCGTGCTACTGTTTGTTTGTTTGCTTGCTTGCTTGTTTTTTTTTTTTTTTTACCAGAGTCGGGAAACCACGCAGGTGTGCCGCACGCTTAACCAGGTGGTTGATATTACTCTTCTTTTATGCCTAGTTCTTTTATGCTCCTTCAAAAACACCTCTGAAAACCTGACTCGCAACATCTCGATGGAATACACGACTGGAAACCCAATGCTCGTCGCACTGCGCAGCAACAAGCTTTTCTCTTACTTCCCCTTTTTTCAAACCCCGCACAGGTGTGCTGCACTCTCGCGGACGTGCTGCGCTACTGCCACTCCCACCGCATCCTCCACCCTCCCTGACATATGAGTTTACAAAGTTCCGTCCTTACGATGGTTGAACAGCACATCTGGAAGCTCAATCTATGCTGTGCTGTGCCATGCTGATCCCTTCTCTGCTCGCCCAAACAGGTGTGCCGCACTCTTGCCGACGTGCTGCGCTACTGCCACTCCCACCGCATCCTGCACTGCAACTGAACGTGCTTCTCATGTGCTGTGCTTCCTCTGCTGTGCTGTTCTGTGCCGTACAGGTGTGCCGTACTCTCGCCGACGTGCTGCGCTACTGCCACTCCCACCGCATCCTGCACTGCAACTGAACGTGCTTCTCATGTGCTGTGCTTCCTCTGCTGTGCTGTTCTGTGCCGTGCAGGTGTGCCGTACTCTCGCCGACGTGCTGCGCTACTGCCACTCCCACCGCATCCTGCACTGCAACTGAACGTGCTTCTCATGTGCTGTGCTGTTCTGTGCCGTGCAGGTGTGCCGTACTCTCGCCGACGTGCTGCGCTACTGCCACTCCCACCACATCCTGCACCGCGACTTAAAGCCCGAGAACGTGCTGCTTGTGTCGACACGCAGTGACACGCGTGTGAAGGTCATAGACTTCGGTATGGCCTACCGCTTTCAGGACGGCGAGCGCTGCACCCAACGCGCTGGCACTCCGAATTACATCTCCCCAGAAGTCATCGCGAAAAACTACGGCACCGAGGCGGATGTGTGGAGCTTAGGTGTCATACTCTATGTGATGCTGTGCGGGCTGCCGCCATTCTGGGGGGACACAACGGAGGAGATCTTCTCGAGTATTCTGTACGAGCCGTTGGATCTCGAGACCGAGCCTTGGCCGGACGTGTCTGCCGCGGCAAAGGACTTGGTTCGGCGGATGCTGTGCCGGAGGTTCGACGAGCGGATCACCGTCCCGGAGATACTGAGTGAGTTGGCATCTGTGGGGCTGTTAGCGTTGCTGCTCACTCCGCTTTGTGCTGTGCTGTGAGGTGCTATACCATGCTGTGCCATTTTGTGCTGTGCCGGAGCTTCGACGAGCAGACTAGGGTGCCGGATATACTGAGTGAGTTGCGTTGGTGTGTCGCTGTTTGTGGGGTTACTAGCAGGGTTGCTTGCGTTGATGCTCACTCCCTTATTTCATCTGTCAGCGTTTTCCAGTGTCTTGTGCTGTGCTGCGAAGTGCTGTACCGGGGTGTGCCATGCTGTGCAGGCTGTTTTGTGATGCTAGTACTTGCTTTATTTCTCGATCTCATGAATCAGCGTTTCCATTCCATAGTGCTTCCTTTTCCTCTGCTTTTCTGCCCCCCTCACTCATCTTTTTGCCTCCAACTCCCTCCCTCCTCCCTATTCCATCCCCGTGTCCCCCACCTCGTCCCGGCTGCTTTCCCCATGTCCCAACCATGGAACTGTATGGGCAACTCCATATTGCAAACTAATGCAACAGAGCATCCTTGGATTAAAGCCCTCACATAAAATTATTGGGATAGTCTTGGTTGGTAATTGTTCACTTAATTCTGTTAGGTTTAGTACCCAAAAAAACATCGATTAGGTTCACCTTGTTGTGCAGTGCATTATTTGAGGCAGGTGACTAAGAATGCTATGCATGCCTTTTCCTTATTCCAAGATGACTTGTTCTGAGAGAATAGCACTCAGGTGATATATTACCGTATTTATTTTGCTTGCCTTTACTGAAAACATGATAAATGAATACCGTAGTACCAGGCCCTCAGATATCAGCGTTAAACACGCTGATTACGCTGATTTTGTAGCTGTGATTTTCGTTTTCCCTGAAAATTCAGCATATGCCTCAATTTTGCACTGAAATTTCAGTATAACATGTTGCCACACTGACCATTTTGCGTGTTGCTGTACAAGTAACACTGACGAATCAGTATAGTGACGTGAGTCACACTGAAACGGAGTTGACCGCGTGTGTGTGTGTGTGGGGGGGGGGGGAGGGGGGATGATAGGGTACGCGTGTCCTATCTGTACCTTCCCGTGATTCCTGAGACCCCACCCACACGCTTGGCATTTTTTCGCATGCACTGCACAGATATCAGGTGCGCGCCGCTGGAACCTATCACAGCAACAACACCACACACCTTGTACTGGGGTTTCAGCTATAGTTTTTTGTTTTTACAGTGTTGGTTCAGTTTACTTATGATTTTTACACTGGCAAAATCAGTATAAAAAAAAACAGTGAACGCTGATTTGGACACCTCATTGGCCGGGGCACGCTGATCCATCAGCATACCCTCAAACCAATCTGAGGGCTGTTACAAGAGTAAGCACAGTGAGGAGCCATAGCTAGGGTTTAGCTAGCTAGGCAAGAGAGAAATGAACAAAGGAGAGGTTCACTAGCAGCAGTTGGGATACATATAGCAAACCCTAACTGGGTTGTACCCGCTACCGTCATCACCCGGATATAAGACAGTGTTGAATAGTAGACAGGGGTTGTCTATTATACGGGTGTCTCTTATAAACGGGGTAGCCTCATTATAAGACACCTATTTGTGTGTAGGGGCAAATGGCAAATGTATAACGAGGAAGTATCTTCTAAATGGATTTTTGTCCATTTATAAGACTGATTTTTTTAATGTATGAGATAAGACATACATGTCTTATATCCGGGTGATGACGGTATAGAGCACCCCACTACAGGCTAGATGATAACATTCTGACAAGGGCCTGCGTACTACCCTATCAAACCGGTAAAAATACACGTGTAAGGTTCCATACTATTGGCTGTTGTGTTCCAGCAATTTCTGGCAATGATTGGATCTGCGGTGTGGAGCGTCTTGCATTTGATGCTGTAAGGAAATTTTCGTCATCGCCCGGATATAAGACATATATGTCTTATCTCGTACACTACTCAAAATGCTTGGGTTATCTTGTGTTTGGGACAGTTTAGGGTGACTTATAAGTCTTATAAATGGACAAAGAACCGTTTAGAAGATACCCCCTCGCTATACAATTGCCCCTAACCCCTACACTGGCTTAATTCGTACACACAAATAGGTGTCTTATAATGAGGCTAGCCAGACACCCGGATAATAGACAACCCCTGTTTACTATTCAACACAGTCTTCTATCCGGGCGATGACGGTTCCATTTCCTTACGCCGCATCCCTGCTTAGCACGTACGTCACTGTAGCACCACACTTAGCGCCGTTACCACTCGCAACCCTCGCTTCGACAATCTTCCCGCCACCTCGCCCGTCGCACCCCGACCTCACGGCTCGCCTGGTAACCCGCGCTCCAGGCCTCCGCCTCAACATTCCCAACCTCAGTCCCAGGCCCGTCGTGCGTCACCCACAGTTCGTTACCGTTACGGTAGTACTGTGGCCTTCGCTATTCAGTTCTCCCTCAATCATTCGCTAATTGTCATGTTTCTACTTCGACAGTGCAATTCTCGCTCGCTCGCTCACTTGCACGCGTAACACTTGGCATCCAGATATTAGAATCATAGCTGGAGCTTAGTAGCCATGGCTAGGGTTTAGGTTTTACGAAAGAGAAATGATAACAGAAGAAGAGGGGCTTTCACTACCGTCATCACCCGGATATAAGACAGTGTTGAATAGTAGACAGGGGTTGTCTATTATACGGGTGTCTCTTGTAAACGGGGTAGCCTCATTATAAGACACCTATGTCAGAACATATAGCTTATGCTTTTGTGTAGGCTGTAGTGGGGTATCCCATAGGGGGTACAACCCAATTAGGGTTGGTACTTGTACCCACTTCAATCATAGTTCATTCATCCTCGTTTCAGTTTTCTCATCGTATCGAGCAGGTTCCCTCGTGGGAACTGTTCCTAGGGCCCTACTACTGCTTCCGCTGCTACTCGATCTGTCGCACGCCCCGTGGCGTGCGACCTATTTGGCGCGCGGCAATTTTCTTTCTGGCGCGCGCCCCGAGGCGCGCGGCCCCGCTACCCCGTCGCGCCGCCCTAGCGGCCGCGTCGCGCCGCCCTCGCGGCCCCGATCTGCCGCCCTGCTGGCCCCGTCACCTACCCCGGCGACCCCGACGCCGCCCTTCCCGACCCGGCCCCACCTTTGCTGGCCCCGTCGCCTGCCCCTGCGGCCCCGGCTCCGCCCTTCCAGGCCCCGGCGCCACCTCGGCTGGCCCCGTCGCCTACCCCGGCGACCCCAACGCCGCTCTTCCCGACCCGGCCCCGCCTCTACTGGCCTCGTCGCCTACCCCTGCGGCCCCGGCGCTGCCCTTCCCGGCCCCGGCGCCACCTCTGCTGGCCCCTGCGCCGCCTCTGCTGGCCCGGACGCCTACCCTGCGGCCCCGGCGCCACCTCTACTGGCCCCGTCGCCGCTCCACCCGGCCCCGCCGCCGTCCCCAAGCGGCCCCGCCGTCACCACCGAGCCGCCGGCGCCGCCGAGCTAGTGCCGAGCCACCCGAGCCACCCGAGTCGCCCGAGCCGCAGCGCCACCTCAGCCGCCCGAACCGCCGAGTCGCCGAGCCGCCGCGCCACAGTTGCTGCAGTGCCGCCGTGCCGCCGAGCCGCCCGAGCCGCCCGCACCGCCGAGTCGCCGAGTCGCCCAGTCGTCGAGCCTGCTCTTCCCACCACTGGTGAGCCCCTGACTTACTAGCGCGCTGCGTGCCGCTTGCTTGGCTGCCTGCCTTACTGCTGCTACTCCTGCTCCTGCTTCTACTGGCGGAGCCAGATGCAGCCCCAGCGACGTCCGCGTGAGTCCCTCACGCCCCAGCAGCTGCGTGAGTGGTACGCTGGTTGGGGTTGTAGGGGTGGCGGCGCTACTACTGCTACTACTGCTGGCGGCGACCAGATGCAGCTCCAGCGACCCCCACGCGCGTCTCTCACGCCCCAGCAGCTTCATGAGTGGTACGCTCAGAGTGGAGGGTCTCTCAGTTCTGTTCGCTGCTCTTACGTGATTCGCACTGGTGCTCGGACTGGTCAGCCTTGTGGGACGCCTAGTCACACACAGTCCCGCTGCTTCGCCCGTCTGAGCGACGCCTGGCGTACCGAGTTTGCGACGAGGCTGAGCTCCCCGACTGGGTGGAGTTGCTTAGGCAGAGGGTAGATATATTTGCTCTTGACTATGATGCTATTCTCACTGCCATGTATGCATTGCCTACTGGTGCTGACCGTGCCGGTCACCTGTGCGTACCGCCTGACCCGGGTATCGAGCCTACTGCTCTAGCTGCTGGTGAGGCTGCTGCTCTGGGTGCTAGTGTGTCTCCTGCTCAAGGCACAGGTGCGGCTGCTGCTCTAGGTGCTAGTGAGTCTGCTTCCTCAGGTGCGGGTGAGTCTGCTCTCTCAGGTACCGCGTCGGCTCCGGCCTCTCACACCTTCACCCTTGACTCGGGGGCTTCCCGCTCCTTCTTTCGAGACCGCACCACACTCACGCAGCTTGGTCGGCCAGTTGCAGTCTCTCTGGCATACCCCTCTGGGGGCCCTGTCCTTGCTCACTTCTCCACTGTCCTCCCGTGTCCGGCGGCCCCCTCTGGCACCCTGTCTGGTCTTTACCTCCCCTCGTTCTCTACGAACTTGGTGAGTGGTGCTGACCTGCAGGATGCGGGGGTTCACCAGTTCACTCCTGCGAGTCAGCGGGTGACCCACTGCACGGACGCTCGGACAGGCCGACACCTGGCCACGTTTACTCGTCGGCCGGGGTCGAGCCTGTACACACTTACCACTGAGTCTCCTCCAGTCCCTGCGTCTGGTCAGGTAGCTGCATCGGGTCAGGTGTTTGCTGCAGCGTCCAGGTCTGGTCCTGAGTCTGCCCCCTGCTCGTGTCGCCTCCTGTCTCACGAGACTCTCCTCTGGCACCACCGCCTTGGTCACCCCTCCCTGCTTCGTCTCCGAAGCATGGCCTCCCGTGTCCTTGTCTCTGGTCTTCCTCGGTCCCTCCCTCCCCTTCCTTCGGGGCCTGGCCCTACCTGCGTCCCCTGTGTCGAGGGGCGGCAGCGGGCTGCCCCTCACTCCTCCCAGTTTCCTCCGACAGAGGCCCCGCTGCAGAC